AATAATTAAAAACATACATTGAATACAATATCAACTAAAAACCGCTCTATAGCCCGCGTTCATCGAGTTCTAAAATCCGTCATCCATTTAGCATTACCATGGTCCTTTTCAACTCTAGTCATCATTACCTTGTTAATCTGCCAGATTACCCAAGTGCCTGGTCCCATATCCATGTCTTCAGCTTCCTTCTGAAGGAGAGGGGGGATGTTGATGACCTGATTTCCCCAGGGAGCGAATTCCACAGGTGAGGGGCCACCACTGAGAAGGCCCTGTCCCTCGTCCCCACCAGCCTCACTTGTGATAAAGGTGGGGCCGAGAGCAGGGTCTCCCCAGAAGATCTTAAACTCCACGGTGGGACATAGAAGGAGATACGTTCGGACAGGTACGCTGGGCCGGTGCCGTATAGGGTTTTATAGGTCAAAACCAGCACTTTGAATTGTGCTCGGAACTGGATCGGCAGCTAGTGGAGCTGATGTAGCAGAGGAGTGGTGTGCTCCCTGTATGACACTCCGGTGATTAATCTGGCTGCCACCTGTTGGACTAGTTGAAGTTTCCGAACAGTCTTCAAAGGCAACCCCACGTAGAGTGCGTTGCAGTAATCTTTTCAGGATGTAACAAGAGCGTAGACCACTGTGGCCAGATCAGACTTCCCTTGCCTGGCTCACACTGCCCGTTGGGCCTGACGGATAGCGTGAACCAGGCGAAGGGAGCAGCACTGAGGGGGAGGCCTCCTCCACGGGCCAGATAAGTGCCCTTGGTGGACCGGAAGTGGCCCGTGGGCTGTAGTTTGAGGACCCCTGGTTTAGATCATGGTACTTTATTACACTTGCAACAGTACCTACAGGTGCTTTTGTTACATATTATATTTTGTAATTGGAATATGTTGTTTATTGCTGTCTAGTTCACTTCAATTTACGCTGACTTTATGAATGACAGGTCTCTAAGGCTCCCTATCATTAACAGTTATGGTCGGGTTCTTCCTAGAGCTGTGGCTTGATTGATAGATCGATTCAATTAACTTATAGTGTTGTCTCCTTTGTTTTCTGTTTACCTCCTGTGTTATTGTTGTTTTACGCTTCTAGTTGTTTCTGATTTATGGCAACCTTCAAGTAAACCTAGTAAATTGAGGGGATTTTTGTAGGGTTGCCCATGTCTTCCTCTGGGACTGAGAGAGTATGACTTGCCTAAGGTCACCTAGCAGGTTTCCATGACTGAGAAAGGATTTGAATCCAGGTCTCCGGGGTCCTAGTCCAACACCAAAACCATTACACCTTGTTTTCGCTTGTATTTATTCGTCATTTTGGCAGTTCACAGCATCCAAAAAACTCTCTTCCAAAGCGCCACTTTGCACTGATTCTCTTCCTATCGACTTTCTTTACTGTTCAACATTTACAACATTTAAATAGAAGTCAGAAATGCAATGTTGTGCATGATCCTGACTTCAGTATTCAATAATATATCTTTGCATTCAAGGATTTTGTCCAGTTCCTTCTTTGATGCCCTTTTAAGCCCTAGATTTCTTCTGATTTCTTGACATAGTAGTGTCACTTCTGGTAGATGTAATGAATAATGAGTGCCAAGAATGTAAGATGTGCCAAGTCTATGGAAAGTTTACATATCAACCCCTTATTATTTGTCAGTGAGTAAGAGTCCTGTGTGATGGTATCTTTCTACCTATTGTTTAAACTGTCCATTATTTCTGTGTCTCTTTTCTCCCCTGTAGTGGTCCTTGAACATGGATAATATCAGTGTGAACATAACTATGCCTCCAGAGAGAAAGAAAAACTAAAACTTAGAAACATTCTTAAAGCTAGATGCATATACATGTATAACACAACTACTATTTTAATAATGTGTGCTGCTGTTGTAGGCAAGTCATAGTTCCCCTCCATTACATTCCCTACATAAAGCAAGATGTGATTCTATATAACATTTAGTATTACTAGTGACAGCTGCTGGTTTCCAGTTAAGCAGAATGATAAATCCACTACAGGTATTCATCTGAATGTTGAGAGAGCTATCCAAGGTCCTGAACCTATTTAGGGTCCAGGATTCAGAACCTTTGATAGCTCCTTAAAGATGAAGTAGATTTTGAATTGAACTTGCCACTCTCCGGACATAGAAGACCCCAGTAATCACCGAACAACACTAGAGTAGCTTATTTAGGTGATCACTCGTAGTCTGAAGATGATGGTCCTCCAAGTGATGTGTCTTGGTGGTGGATATGTAGGTGGCTGTAGATTTTGAATTGAACTTGCCACTCTCTGGACATAGAAGACCCCAGTAATCACCGAACAACACTAGAGTAGCTTACGTAGATGATCACTCGTAGTCTGAAGATGGTGGTCCTCCAAGTGATGTGTCTTGGTGGTGGATATGTACGTGGCTGTGGAGCCCTATTCTTGATGTGCATGTTCTCCCGCAGTGAGGGGATTGGTTTCCAGGTGGAAGGCGGTCCCGATCTTGACATGCCTTCCTCTTGGCACGTTTCTCTCTTTCACCCTCCATTTGTGCCTCTTCAAATTCTACAGCACTGCTGGTCATAGCTGACCTCCAGCTAGAGCACTCAAGGGCCAAGTCTTCCCAGTTCTTGGTGTCTATGCCACAGTATTTAAGGTTAGAGTAGCATAGATACTGCTGTAACATTGCAGAAAAATAGGTATAACAACTTGTACAATCTCTGAAAAAATACTATGGTTTGAATAATTAACCCAGTGAAAAGTCACAAGAGGAATCCAGCTAGAGGTTTTGAAAAAACAAGAGCTGAGAATCAGTATGTTTTGACTATCCAAATGGTTGTCTAGAATGCCTGCATTTCTCCTAGTATTATGAGAATACGATATCTTTAAAACATTCTTGAGGCTGATTTTCAAGATTATGTATTACTCTTTCTTACATTTTACCCATTGCATTAGTTGATACTTCAGGAAATAAAGCCCGACTGCTCATTGGTGGGAAGGATATTAGAGGCAAAGATGAAGTATTTTGGACACATCATGAGAAGACAGGAAAGCTTAGAGAAGACAATTATGTTGGGGAAAATGGAAGGAAAAAGGAAGAGGGGCCGACCAAGGGCAAGATGGATGGATGGTATTCTTGAAGTGACTGGCTTGACCTTGAAGGAGCTGGGGGTGGTGACGGCTGATAGGGAACTCTGGCGTAGCTGGTCCATGAGGTCACGATGAGTCGGAAGTGACTGAACGAATGAACAACAATTAGTTGATTATAAAAAAAAGAAACAGAAATGTTTTGTTTCTGACAGGTAGTTGTAGTATATTTCTTGAAAAACATAGTTAAATTATATTGTGGCTAAATGTTGAGATGGGCAAGCCCCATCAGTGATGTTAGAATCTTCCCCTTTCAACAAATGTGTAAATAAGAAATTTGGATTGAATGCCATGGCAGGAGGTTGCAGGAATTAGAACAAGCCACATCTTCTAAAATCATTCTTCAATACAATTCTAGGTGACCTATTTTCAGACATACCAGTATGCTGATGTTTTGTATGCCTCTTTTATGACAGCTGTTTAAAGGCTGGAGCCAAACTGACAGCATGTTCCAATGCAAGTTTGCTTGAATTCAATGGGCCTCATTCCCAAGTTAGTTGGAAGATTGGATTATTGAACTAGGATGTTATTTTAAAAGGATTTCTGTTCTTGTATTGTATTTGTGTTTGTTTACTGTTGTTCATTCGTTCAGTCGTTTCCGACTCTTTGTGACCTCATGGATCAGCCAACGGCAGAGCTCCCTGTCGGTCGTCACCACCCCCAGATCCTTCAAGGTCAAGCCAGTCACTTCAAGGATACCATCCATCCATCTTGCCCTTGGTTGGCTCCTCTTCCTTTTTCCTTCCATTTTCCCCAGCATTATTGTCTTCTCTAAGCTTTTCTTTCTTTTCATGATGTGGCCAAAGTACTTCGTCTTGGCCTCTACTATCCTTCCCTCCAATGCGTGGTCGGGCTTTATTTCTTGAAGTATGGACTGGTTGGATCTTCTCGCAGTCCAAGGCACTCTCAGAACTTTCCTCCAGCACCACAGTTCAAAAGCATCTATCTTCCTTCACTCAGCCTTCCCTATGGTCCAGCTCTCACATCCATAGGTGACTATGGGGAATACTATTGCTTTAACTATGCGGATCTTTGTTGCCAGTGTGATGTCTCTACTCTTCACTATTTTATCAAGATTGGACATTGCTCTCCTCCCAAGAAGTAAGCATATCCTGATTTCCTGGCTGCAGTCTGCGTCTACAGTAATCTTTGCACCTAGAAATACAAAGTCTGTCACTGCCTCCACGTTTTCTCCCTCTGTTTCCCAGTTGTCAATCATTCTTGTTTCCATAATCTTGGTTTTTTTGATGTTTAACTGCAACCCAGCTTTTGTGCTTTCTTCTTTCACCTTGATTAGAAGGCTCCTCCTCGCTTTCGGCCATCAGGTGTTGTCATCTGCATATCTAAGGTTGTTAATGTTTCTTCCAGCAATTTTCACCCCAGCCTTGCATTCATCAAGCCCTGCACATCGATGATGTGTTCTGCATACAAATTGAATAAATTGGGGGAGAGTATACAACCCTGCCATATGCTTTTCCCAATCTTGAACCAGTCTATTGTTCCATGGTCAGTTTACTGTATGTTTACAGTTTGTTTACTGTTGCAGCCTAAAAACCTGAGTTATAGAATAGTGCCAAGAATGTAGTGAATCTATAAAATAAATGCAAAACATGTGTAGGAGTTCATCTATGTCAATTGTATTTGGTCTTTGTTGAAATCAGGAGGATATATTACTTAAATTTTGCTGATATTATTGGGGGGGGGAAGGGGGCTAAGTGGCATCTTGCATTGCTCCTTTCATTGAGAACAAAACTGAATATTTTTCTGATCCAATGCTCCCAAAGCACGGCAAGGACAGGAAAGGGGGGGGGGGGGATACTTTACTGTAGTAAAAGTTATTTTTCTGTGACAGAAAATAATTTCTATTTTCCTTTGTTTTTGTTTTTCTTCCAGGCTCATATTTGGCACTCTGTATCCTGCGTATTACTCTTACAAAGCTGTAAAGTCAAAGGATATTAAAGAATACGTAAGTAATATTTCTGGGAACATTCTGTGGCAGAAGCCATAGGATTAAGATAAATCTAAGCTTCTGTTTGCAAGATGCCATTTAATGAATTTCACTGGGAAATTTAGAAAAAAAAAATGTGAATGCTTCAGTTCCAGATGTTAAATTGTGCATTTTTCTTATTGCCAAATAACACCTTCTGCATTGTACCCTGAATATGGTGCATCTGAAAAAAACTTTCTAATAATAATGTCTTTATTAGCTAACTCACAAGTGATTCTAACACACATATGAAACAAAATGTGTAGATGTCCATTTTCCCATGGATTATTCCATAACATCTGGAAGACTAAATGTTGATCTTGTTATGTAAAGTTTTTTTTTTCTAAGTAGTGGAATATCTAGATGGGCAAGTTGGGAAATGGCCCGATAAATAATAGGGAAGGAAGATCCCATGTCTCAGGTGGAGTGAGGGAAGGACAGGGACTCTCATAGCAGACAATGCCTCTATTCCTAATCCACTCTCTGGTTCACTTCCAACCTCTTTGCATTATTATTATTATTATTATTATTATTATTATTATTATTATTATTATTATTATTATTATTTGAAACACAACAAGATGAGTCCACAGCAGACAAGATCACTCTGCTGGCTGTTGTATTGGATCACACGTCGGACACTTCCCAAGTGTCTAGGACTGTGTGATGTATCGGCAAATAATGCGTGCAGATCCCAGTAAGGTGGCCTTCTACAGCTGGCAGATGGTAATTTTGTCAGCGCTGATTGTGTTTAAGTGAAGGCCAAGGTCTTTAGGCACTGCACCCAGAGTGCCGATTACCACTGGGAGCACCTTGACTGGCTTGTGCCAGAGTCTTTTCAGTTTGATCTTTAAATCCTCATATTGTGTCAGCTTTCCCAGTTTTTTTTCTTCAATCTTGCTGTTGCCTGGAATTGCAACATCAATTATCCATACTTTGTTTTTTAACACAATCATGAGGTCAGGAGTATTGTGCTCCAAAACTCTGTCAGTCTGAATTCGGAAGTCCCAGAGTAGTTTTATTATTATTAATAGTATTAATAGTATTATTAATTATTAAATCATTAAATAATTGTTAAATAATTAAATATTTATTAAAATATTAAATATTAAAATAGTATTATTAATAGTAGTAGCATTATTATAATTATAATAATTATTATTATTATTTATTAACTTTATTTCTGCCTTTCTCCTCATAGGGACTCAAGGTGGCTAAATATATGAATATTTTATAAGATTCATTGTGAACCTCACTTAATTGCAGTGAGAATTATATTGTCACCTTTTAACCTTCATCTGTCGCAGAAAGCACCCATTGAATAGAAACATTTAATTTTATAGTTACTTTCCATGCAAGGTGACATTTTAAATGATAGTTTATGGAACTGCGTGTTTTCTGAACTAGAGCTGATTAAAAAAAATAACCTTGGAATAGTGACACAAAGCATATACAGAGGGTGTCCCTGCAAACGTGATGGTGATATTGACATGGCAAAGACAGATGGATACCAGACAGCCAAGCTGAAATTGATAAGAGCTAAAAAAAAATCCCTGTACTGTACAGGAGGGGATCATGCAACACAGAGACACATAAATAGAAGGTCTTATGTAATATAAGGATGTCCCTTGTAATTTCTGCATAGTTCCATTACCAGAGAAGTATGGGGTTAATCAAGGTTATATGACACATTCCAGCATATCAGTGCACACAGAATATACAGCACTGAGCACTGGATCACCTGTGACATAAATCAAAGTTATAACAGTTAACTGTTCTCTGTAAGCACCCCATAGAGAGAGGAGAATTGGCTGTAGTCTTCTTCATCTTGAAAGCCTTATTTGTGCTGTCTGAGCACACAGATGCAGAGTGAACACCCCTTGCTTCTTCCATCTGCATGGGCTAAATATAAAGATAGATGCTTATACAGCTTTTAAAGTCCAGAAATGGTCAAGTATGTCTTCATCTAGTGATCCATATGGTCAAATGTGCTTGGCAGGCATTAAATAATTCGGCATTTTTATAAAGAGTTTTATAGTTTTATCTATTCTAGTGGATCTATTCTAGGTGAAACTGGAACAGGGCATAGGGTTACAGCCTGTGTTGGATGGGGTTACACTTCCCCCTGAAGATGCAGGTTCACAGCTTCGGAGTGATCCTGAACTCATCGCTGAGCCTCATCGATGAGGCTCATCAGAGGTCTTGGTGGTGGCCAGGGGAGCTTTTGCACAGTTAAAGCTTGTGCGCCAGCTGTGCCTGTACCTTGGGAAGTCTGATCTGGTCCACGCTCTGGATACATCCTGAATAGATTACTGCAATGCACTCTATGTGGGGTGGCCTTTGAAGACTGTTCGGAAAGTTCAACTAGTCCAACGGGCGGCAGCCAGATTGCTCACTGGAGCATTGTACAGGGAGCACACCCCCTCCCCCCATTATGTCAACTCCACTGGCTGCCGGTCCATTTCCGAGCAAGTGCTAGTCTTGGCCTATAAAGCCCTATACAACTCTGGCCCAGCTTAGGTGTCCAAACGTATCTCCCTCTACGTTCCGCCTCGTAATCTAAGATCCACCGGGGAGGCCCTGCTCTTGGTCCCACTGGCTTCGTAAATGCGTCTGGTGGGGACGAGGGACAGGGCCTTCTCGGTGGTGACCCCTCGCTTGTGGAATTAGATCGGCGTCCTCCCTCCTTTCTTTCAGGAAAAAACTGAAGACGTGGTTTTGGAACTAGGCTTTTGGCTCGCGGGCACAACAGCACTTGAACACTGAATCGGACCATACAATTGTTATAATGGAAATGGCTTTACGATTGTATAACTAATGTTTGTTTTTAATCTATTGTATTGTATGATTTTATCTTGCTGTTGTAATTGTAATTATTTGCGGCATTGAATTGTTGCCATTGTTAGCCACTCTGAGTCCCCCTGCGGGGGTGAGAAGAGCGGGGTAGAAATGTTGTAAATAAATAAATAAATAAAGGCCAGTATTAATTTAGGAACACTACCATACATACTCATATACATGTTAAGAAATTTTAGTAAAACGTTTGACCCAAACCTACCGTATATTCCGACATATAAGACGACTGGGTGTATAAGACAACCCCCAACTTTTCCAGTTAAAATATAGAGTTTGGGATATACTCGCCGTATACAACTACCTCTCTTCCAACACACATCAAATAAAATTTTTAAAAGCATCAAATTTTATTTCAATATGGTAATTTTCCTATTACTGTACCTCCTTCTCTGCCTCTCAGATCTTGCACCTGCGCACCTGCACCACTTCACTGCAGTCTTTAGGAGTGAGATCTGAGAGGCAGAGGAGGAGGTACGGTAATAGGATACAAGGGCGGGCCAGACAGGTAAAAGAGTTGTGTTTTTCTGGGCCCAGAGCCACTCTATTCCTTTTTTCCATACCCCGAGTACCCCGGATGCCTGCAGCTTGCTCCGCCCTTCACTTACACCTTCCCGGCGAGACGCCCCTTCACCTCACCATCAGGACCACATTAAGTCCACAAATCCTGATGATTGGATTTTTTTCTACCATACTTGTATAACGTCGCCCTTAATGCTTTCATACAGTCGCTGCATATGGCAGGGACGTGGTCACTGCCATTTTTGAGCTCCCCCCACCATATATGGCAACTGCAGATTCTCCAATCCGGATTGGAAGTTTCAGCACCCGCTCTATAAGATGACTCCTGGCGTATAAGACTACTCCCGCATATAAGACAACTCCCATGCATAAGGCTACTCCAGCGCATAAGACGACTCCTGTGTATATGACTACCCCCACGTATAGGACGACTTCCGTGTATAATTTGATCCCTGACTTTTGAGAAGATTTTCTTGGGGTAAAAAGTAGTCTTATACACCAGAATATACGGTATATTCTGGTGTATAATTCTTACTTTTTAAAAAGCACACCACCATCCCCGAGAGCTACAGGAACAAATACTACCAATCTCCTGATGAGTTTGCCCCATTTGGAGGAGTCCACTAAGAGGCAAATGAAGATTCACACATAACCAAGCTGTGTTTTCTTTCTAGGTAAAATGGATGATGTACTGGATTATATTTGCACTCTTCACAACGGCAGAGACCTTCACGGACATTTTTCTTTGCTGGTTGGTATCCAGTTCAAATGGTTCTTTCTTTTGTTCATCACTAAAACAGAAATGGGTGGGGTGGGTATACATTTCGAGAGGAAAACACAATAACACCAGGTGCATGGAGAACTTGTGGATACTGGGCGTTTCCCTGGTTGGAAATGCCTGATTTGGGTAGCACAGTGAGGAAATACAATATCAGTGAGATGGAAAATGCTGTGCTGGGAAAAACAGCTGCAAAGTGTTTTACGCTTTGGACTGTGGTTATGATTGGAAACTTGTGAAGCCAGCTGCTGCAATTCTGGTAAGCAGTCATCAAAGTACAGTGGGGCTATTTTGGAAAGGCTTTCAGGTATTCTGAAGACAAGGTAAAAATGTGCTACTCAATATAATGATAACATTACATCTATTTCAATCTGAGGTTGAGTCTTGTCCCGTGGGCAAAATATGAATTGACAGAAGACAGCAAGAGATAATGGGAATGAAAGAAGTTAATAAAGAGATGCTTAGGGGCAGCACAGAAATGTCCTTTGTTTCCTAACTTCATAATTCATAACGCAGCAATCTGACTGATGTTCCTGGAGGATGGTGATATGCAACTTGTGACCATCTTACTGAGCACAGCTCAGAAGGTAACCAAGGCCCTTTCTAAACTGCCATATAATCCAGTTCAAAGCGGATAATCTGGATTTTATATGGCAGTGTAGAAGGGACCCTTGGTTTCTCATACATCTCCAAATGTGATCTGTGATGGTTACTGCAGGAGTTGGACATGTTAAATCAAGTCAAGGCCCATTCATCATACAGGTTCCAACTGGTTGAATTTGACGACTTGGGTTGTTCAGAGGAATTTTAATTTAGTGCTGAATAGATGACAAGAACTTACATGTGAACTTACTAGGGAGACTTTGATAAGAGTGCTTTCATTTAAGGTGGCACCACTTAGGGCCCTTCCACGCAGCCATATAACCCAGAATATCAAGGCAAAAATATCCCATAATAACGGCTTTGAACTGGGTTATCCAAGTCCACACTGCTATATATTCCAGTTCAAAGCAGATAATGTGGGATTTTATTCAGCTGTGTGGAAGGAGTCTTAGTGCCTATAACCTCAACAGGTAAAGGTAAAGATTTCCCCTGACATGAAGTCCAGTCGTGTCTGACTTTGGGGTCTGGTTCTCATCTCCATTTCTAAGCCGAAGAACCGGTGTTGTCCGTAGACACCTCCAAGGTCATGTGGCCAGCATGACTGCATGGAGAACCTTTACCTTCCCGCCGAAGCGGTACCTATTGATCTATTCACATTGGCATGTTTTCGAACTACTAGGTTGGCAGAAAGCTGTGGCTGACAGCGGAAGCTCACGCCGCTCCCTGGATTCGAACCTGCGACCTTTTAGAACTCAGCAGTTTAACCCACTGCGCAACCGGGGCTCCATAACCTTAACAAAAAGGGATTTTATTGGTGAAACTTAATATCTGTCAGTTGAGCAGGACAAATCAAAATTAATAATGGATTTGTATTTTCTACCTAAGCGCTTTTTGAGAAAGAGTGCTCGAGATGTCATTTACCTTCCAACTTGTGCTTAAATTGAAGTCAGAGCAGAGATGCCACAAACAAATTAGTTTTTAATACCCTGCCTAAGCATATAATATTTGCCCTTCTCTGACAAACCTACAAGTCAATCAAACTAATCAACCCACTACACCATACTGGCTCTATCATTAGTCTATACATATTTAAGTAAGCTCTTTGTACCATTTTCCTTCTGCAACAGATAGTGATGAATTTATGGGTAGAGTAAAGGAAACAGTTGGTTCAGCAACTCAAAGGTGAACAAACTGTCGCTTCCTGCTCATCTGTTATCAAGAGGAAGCAGAAGAGCTAGTTTGGAAGAAGATACAACTCAATTCAATTTGGAAAAAGCTTGGAAATGTTACTTTTGGAACACAGTTTCCAGAGTCTTTCAGTCAGCATAATCAGTGGCTATACTGGAAGGAAATTCTGGAAGACTTAGTCTTTTGCAAGGTCTGACTTTTGTTTATGCTGTGATGTTTTCATTGTGCACGAGGGTGCATGGAAATAGGTTCACATGTTAAATCTTCCCCGCTCTGCTTACCCAGCAGATAAACAAGTACAACTTTAAGCAACCTGCTTGTCTTCCATTTGAAAGTCCTATCTGGAGATTCTGCAATAAATAAATAATAGGCAGCATCCTGTGGTCTGAGATGGAATGGAAGAAGCTCCTCCCCAAAACAACCAAGTTTGCTCTTTAATGCCGTTCCACATTGGTCTTGTTTTGTTTATTTCAATTTTGTTTGTTTCCCGAGAGCTTCCATAAACATTCAGCATAAACAAAGGAACTTATAGGGCTTTTTGCACTGGGAATGTGGCGGAGCTGGCTGGGAGTTAACTACATTAAGATCACTACTGACCAAAAGGTCATGAGTTCGAAGCCAGCCGGGGTCAGAGTGAGCTTCCAACCAATTTCTGTAGCTTGCTGTTGACCTTTGCAGCCCGAAAGACAGTTGCATCTATGAAGTAGGAAATTTAGGAACCACTTATGCGGGGAGGCTAATTTACGACGGCATAAAAATCTCCAGCAAGCATGCAAAGAATGAGGAAGTACTTCATCAGTGTCACAAAAGGACGGTGAAGCAACAGCTCCCCTGGTGGCCAGAATACCCCCATGAAAAAGCTGGAATATTAAATAGCCTCTGTGTGTCTGTCTATATATGTTGTGTGTCTATGGCATTGAATGTTTGCCATGTATATATACTTACTTACTTACTTACTTACTTACTTACTTACTTACTTAGGCGATCTCTCGTTGGACGAGTAAGATGGTCTTCCATTATGCGTTTCCTTGTGGGTCCGCATGTGGCTGTGGAGCCCTATTCTTGCTCTGCATCTTCTTCCGCAGTGTGGGCATTGGTTTCCAGGTGGAAGGCGGTCCCGATCGCGGTTGGCTTGACGCGCCTTCCTCCTGGCACGTTTCTCTCTTTCACCCCCCACTCGTGCCTCCTCGAAGTCTGCAGCACTGCTGGTCACAGCTGACCTCCAGCTGGAGCGCTCAAGGGCCAGGGCTTCCCAGTTCTCAGTGTCTATGCCAGAGTTTTTAAGGCTGGCTTTGAGCCCATCTTTAAATCTCTTTTCCTGTCCACCAACATTCCGTTTTCCGTTCTTAAGTTCAGAGTAGAGCAACTGCTTTGGGAGACGGTGGTCAGGCATTCGGACAACGTGGCCGGCCCAGCGGAGTTGATGTTGGAGGACCATCGCTTCAGTGCTGGTGGTCTTTGCTTCTTCCAGCACACTGACGTTTGTCCGCTTGTCTTCCCAGGAGATTTGTAGGATTTTCCGGAGACAGCGCTGATGGAATCGTTCCAGGACTTGCATGTGACATCTGTAGACAGTCCACGTCTCACAGGCATATAGTAGGGTTGGGAGGATAATAGCTTTATAGACAAGCACCTTGGTATCCCTACGGATGTCCCAGTCCTCAAACACTCTCTGCTTCATTCGGGAAAATGCTGCACTTGCAGAGCTCAGGCGGTGTTGTACATGTATATATACACTGTATGTATATATACATTGTAATCCGCCCTGAGTCCCCTGCGGGGTGAGAAGGGCGTAATATAAATATTGCAAATAAATAAATAAATAAATACTTAGCTGGTACCAATATTCAATGCTTTGTTTTTTAGGAGATGCACTCTGACCTTTCAATATTTCTTAAACAATGCAATATACTTCTTATTTTTTGCGTGGGATATGTGTCACTGTTGTTCTTGATATCCATCCAAGAATAATGGAGGGGAAACCCTGTATTTGTAAAAGGGTAGGAAAATGCCTTTATATTGCTGTCAGAAGTAAGTATGTCATTTTGTTTTCCTATAGGTTTCCATTTTATTATGAACTCAAAATAGCTTTTGTAGCTTGGTTGTTGTCTCCATACACAAAGGGCTCCAGCCTCCTTTATAGAAAATTTGTACACCCAACATTGTCTTCAAAAGAAAAGGTAATTGCAAGTATTTTTTGCTACTTCAACAAGGATTATTACAGAGTAAATTTTAAATGATGTAAGCTGTACTTGAACTCATGCTTGCGTTGGAGTTAGCTCTGTCGAACTCAGATAGATTTGCTTCAAGGCGAGAGCTGCCAGAGAGACAATTCAGTTATGGCTCTTAATAGTTGTTTAGAAGGAACAGATTCATCTGACGTTGCTTGTTACCTGCTTGAGTGACAAACAAGATTTGTTGAAATTCACTCTTACAAAACCAAGATAATAGGAGTGCTCTCCAGCATTCACATTGGCAACCTTATCCAGTGTAGCTGTGTACATGACTGCACTGTTTATAATAAATTCTTTTATTATTTGCCATCATTTCACAATATTTATGTTTTTCTTCAGACAGTCTTATGGGTACCTTTTGGGGTTTTTTCATAGCCAAGGGTTGCTAAGGCTGGAACTTTATATTAAATCCATATATATATATATATATATATATATATATATATATATATATAGTCATGTCAGGAGAGACTTGAGAACATTAGGAAGAACTTATTGAACATTAGAGCTGTTCAACAGTGGAACTCTCTGCCTCGGAGTGTGGTGGAAGCTCCTTCCTGGCAGCTTTTAAATAGAGGCTGCATGGCCATCTATCAGGGATACTTTGTGCTTTTCCTGCATGGTGGGGGTTGGACTAGATGCCCATGTGGTCTCTTATTTTATGATTCTACTAGCCGTACCTGCCACGCGTTGCTGTGGTCAATCTTCCCTCCCTCTTTCTCTCCTTCTTTCCCTTGTTCCTTCACTCCCTCTTTCCTTCCATCCATCCCTTTTTTCTTTCCTTCTCTCCTTCCATCCTTCTCTACCTCTTTCCTTCCCTCCCCCTTTTTCTTTTCCTTCCCTTTCTCTCCTTTCTTCCTTCTCTACATCTTCTCCTCCTTCTCTTCTACCTCTTCTTTCCCTTCTTTTCTTTCTCTTTCTTCCTTTCTTCTCTTCTCTCCTCTTTCTCTTTCCCCTTTTATTTTCCTCTTTCTCTCCTCTACCTCTTTCCTTCCTTTCCCCTTTTTCCTCTTTCTCTCCTTTCTTCCTTCTCTACCTCTTTCCTTCCTTCCTTTGGTTTTTGCTTCTATGCTTCCTTCTCTCTTTCCTTCCTTCCTTCCTTCTTTCTTTCTTTCTCTCCTTCCCTCCCTCCCTCTTCCTTCCCTTTTTTTTTTTTGTATCGTCATTTAGTTTTTCATCATTTAGCTTTTTGGGGTTTTTAAAATAGTTTTTATTAATAATACAGAATAACATAGAATAGCATAAGATAGCACAAAATATAGGATATAAGTTACAGAAACGATGTGTAGTCCAGTGTGTGTGTGTGTGTATATATATATATATAGAGAGAGAGAGAGGGGGGGGGGGGGGGGGAGAGGGAGAGTATCATCCAAAAAAGGAAAAAAAGAAAAAAAGTCCTTTCCACTGTTTTTTTTTGGGGGGGGGGGGGGTTATGAGTGATAGTCACTCATTGGTCTGTTAGGGTCCAAATTTCGTGTCATTTCATCCAGTGGTTTTTGAGTTATGTTAATCCTACAAATGAACACTACATTGTTATTTATATAGGTGATTGTTCTAATTCAGCCCTATGTAGTGACATCAAAAGATATTTTATTTTATTTTTGAAATACCATGAAAAGATACCCTCAAATACAGACTATTTAAGCTACAACAACGATAAAGCTGCAGAAGGCTAGATGGAAGTCAACAGACTTTATTATTATTATTATTATTACTATATTTTTTCTTATTTTTCTAAATTTTTCTCTTTTTTTCTAGGTAGACTGCACATGCCTTTCCTACCCTTCTATCATTCCATTGTTCTCCTACTTTACATGTAAATCTTTCTAATATCCCCCACCCCTACTTCTCTTCCTATTCTCAGTATCTAAAATATCTTATATAACCTGAATAAAATATATTTTTTGAAAAAGATGCATGAGAAAAAGAGAGAACTTTTCCCCACCTTACCTGTCCTATAAATGGTAATTGTAATAACAGAAGATGGAAAGGGAGATGGTTTGTGTTCCTTCACTTGCACAACATTTTTGGTGTGAAAATCTGACATGTAACAGAAAAAGAGTTCAGTAACTGGAAATCGTCTTTTGAAAGTAATTGTGCTTATTTTGATTTTTGCGTTACCTTTTTGTGACAGGAAATAGATGACTGCCTAGTCCAAGCGAAAGATCGAAGCTACGATGCCCTTGTACACTTTGGGAAGCGGGGCTTAAATGTCGCGGCCACAGCTGCTGTGATGGCAGCTTCCAAGGTAACCAGTATAATAATTGAGGAATATGGTGGTGAGATTAACATCACAATGAAGTATCCATAGCTAGTGGCAATCAGTGCTCCATAGATAATGTTTGGATTATTTCACATTTTTCTGGATAAAGTCATCTTGTGGTCAATACATTGAGGGAAGTCTGTAGATATCTGAAAGTGTCCATTCTTACTGTAAATGTAGACATCCAAACATCCAGCAGTTGTAATCAAGACTCCCACTGACTGCCTTTTTTAAAGCAAGGCAACAATATGAGCTCCCTTTGAAAACATATTTATTTATTTAATTACTTTATTTATATATTACTTTATTTATTTATATACTGCTTTTCTCAGCCCTCAGGCGACTGAAAGCGGTGAACAACATCGATACAAAACATCACGAGAGAAGTATAGGGCAATTAAAAACAATTGTAACATTAATCATTAAACATCAGAATAACAATCATTAGCGCCTCAACAGTAAAATCAGAATCCAGTCTCATCATCCATTATTCCGTATTCCTATGCTCAATTACACTGTTTAATCAAATGCTTCTTCAAACAGCCAGGTCTTCACTTTCCTCTGAAACGCCATCAGGGAGGGGGCCAATCTGATATCTGCAGGCAGGGCGTTCCACAGCCGAGGGCCACCACTGAGAAGGCCCTGTCTCTCGTCCCCGCCAGGGCCAGAACCGTTTAGGGCTTTATAGGCCAGCACTTTGAATTGTGCCCGGTAGCAAACTGGCAGCCAGTGGAGCTGGCGCAACAGAGGAGTAGTATGCTCCCTGAGTGCCGCTCCTGTTAGCAACCTGGCTGCCGAACGTGGACCATTTGAAGCTTCCGAGCAGTCTTCAAAGGCAACCCCACATAGAGAGCGTTGCAGTAGTCTATACGAGATGTAACCAGAGCGTGAACTACCGTGGCCAAGTCAGACTTCCCAAGGTACGGGCGCAGCTGGCGCACAAGTTTTAACTGTGCGAATGCTCCCCTGGACGCCGGTGAAACCTGGGGTTCCAGGCTCAGCGACAAGTCCAAGATCACACCCAAGCTGCGAACCTGCGTCTTCAGGGGGAGTGTAACCCCGTCCAACACAGGCTGTAACCCTATGCCCTGTTCGGCCTTACGACTGACCAGGAGTACCTCTATCTTGTCTGGATTCAATAATACAACAGACACCTTTTGAATAATAACGTTGCTTTATGCCAAAATATATTCTGTAATAAGTATTGTATTATACTGAATTGCACGATTGCTGCATATACCACATATACTCATATATAAGTTGATGTCCTGTATATACTTCAGGGTGGGTTTGGGGACCAAAATCCTCTAAGGTGGTGCTTAAGGTGGTCCTCTCTCCACAGAATAACTCACAATGTATCCATAGGTCATATCAAACACTCTCTTTATAAACAAGCACCTTGGCATCCCTACGGATGTCCCAGTCCTCAAACACTCTCTGCTTCATTTGGAAAAATCTGCACTCGCAGAGCTCAGACGGTGTTGTAGTTCGGTGTCGATGTTGACTTTGGTGGAGAGGTGGCTGCCAAGTAGCGTAAATGGTCAATGTTTTCTAATGTTACACCATTAAGCTGTATCTCTGGCATTGGAAAGGGATTGGCTGGTGACTGCTGGAAGAGCACTTTGGTTTTCTCAATGTTCAATGACAGGCCGAGTTTCTTGTATATAATAAAAGAGAGTGTTTGTATCGGACAGAGGAATTGTGGAGGGCGGACGGTGTATGTGCCAGCGTT